ACAGTTCACATGGACTGCACACTTGATCATGTGTCAGACCATTCTCTAATTCCTTTACATGGATTTTCCCTTTTATTTCTATAAGGATAGGGATGGGTATTATTTAATAGTTTGAACATGAAAAAACTGAGACATGGAGAGACTGAATTACCCTCTGAAGGTCAGATAGCTCTTTCCAGACCTTGAACTCACACTCACACCATGCGACTTGAGTCTAGAGCAAATGCTTTTAACCTATACAGTATTTACGGACTGTCCTCTTACTTTTGGTGTGACCAAATGCTTACGATGCCCCAGATTAAAATCTGCTTTATCCCAAATGGTGTAGAGTTGAATCTCTATTTGTTTCAGAACACCTGACCTGAGCCAGAGATGGTGGTCCTGACTGTAGGAGGTTTGGTGGGTTTGACTGGCTGAAGCAAAGCTGTTGCCTGGGTTTTGATGAAGTCTGAGGGGTTTCAGTAAGTAAGTGATAAAGGAGGTATAAAAATAAGAGACTGTGCTGTAAGATGAAGCACATGATTAAGAATCTTTCTTCTATACAATTCACAGAAGAGGAGTGACATGTTCAAAATGGGGCCTGAGTCTGGTGGCCCTTGTTACTACCATGGAGGATGATGGGGATGACCGCAGGCTCAGCTCCCACTGGGGTCAGTGAGCTGCTCCAAATAGAGTCTTCCCACTTCTCCGCATGTACAGGGATGTGCCCTTACTCCAGTCCACATCATCTCTTGCCTGAACAAATGCAATAGCCTCTTACTGGTCTTCTTTATCCTGCCCTGGGCATCCTACCATACTGCGTCCTTAAAGCTGATAAGAGTGATATCTCTCAAACATCAATTAGTCCACGTCTGCCTCATACTTAAGACCCCTGAGTGGCTTCCTAGAGTCTCGGAATTAAACCCCAACCCTTACTGACAAGGATTTTCATGATCTGGCCCCTGCCTCCTCCCTCTCTCATTAGATCCAGGCACTTCTGCCATCTCTAATTCTCCAATGCACGCAGTTCGTTCTTGCCTTTAGGCCCTGCGTTAGCTGTTCCCTTCAGCATGATGTTACACCTGTGCATCAACACTCAGGTAAAGAAACTGAAAATCACCACTGCTTTGGGACCCCCAATTTACCCCACGCCATGACATTATCTTCCCTCATCTCCAGAGTAACAACCATCCAGGTTTTTCTGTTAATCATTCCTGGCTTTCTTTATAGTTTTACAACCTCTGTATATATCTCTAAATAGTCTGGAAAACCAGAGAGCAAGCACAGACTCAGCTAATGTAGGCACGGCAAGACCTCCACTGCAGATAGGCTCCAGGGGGGGAGAGAAGCCACGCTGAGCCACAAGACCACCGCGGCCTCCCTAAGTGCCTATAAAGACCCTTCTGGTGGGCTGGGGTGTCAGTGGGACAGGCCCAGAAAGTGACATGTGAACATACAGCTTGTTGCCAGGCAGCTGGTAGGGCTCTAGCATGGACCAGACATGGATGTCCAGTGGAGGCAAGGTCAGAGAGAGAGGGTGCTTTGTATTTTCTGCTTCTGAGTATGGCTTTTAGGGGTAGGTCAGAGAAGAGCATTTCTGTGCAGTCAAAAGGGGCTTCAAGTACCTTGGCAGCATACTGCCAAGGCAAGCCAAGTGCAGGAAAGTCTCAGCGCCAGGCCCACTGGGACCTTCTGTCCTTCGGCTTAAAAGGGTACAAAATCTTGGTAGTTTCTTACAAAACTAAACATACCTTCAACATATGATTACCACACAATCACATTCCTTAGTATTTACCCAAAGGAGTTAAAAACCTATGTTTACACAAAAACCTGCACAGGGATGTTTACAGCAGCTTTATTCTTAATTGCCAAAACTTAGATGCAACCAAGATGTCTTTTACTAGCTGAAGAGATAAATAAATATCTAGACAATGGAATATTATCCAGGGTGAAAAAGAAAAGAGCTATCAAGCCATGGAAAGACACGAAGGAAACTTTAATGCATATAACTTAGTGAAAGAAGCCAATCTGGTAAGACTACGTACTGTATGATTCCAACTATACGACATTCTGGAAAAGCAAAATTATGGAGGCAGTAGAAAGATCAGTTGTTGTTTATGGTTGGGAAAGGGGGAAGATACAAATAGGCAGAGCACAAAGGATTTTTAGGGCAGTGAAAATACTCTGCATGATACCCTAATGATGACATTATACATTTGTCCAACTCATAAATGGTATAACACCAAGACTTAACTGTAATGAAAACCATGCACTTTGGGTGATTATGATGTGTAAATGTAGGTCAGCTGTAACAAATGTACCACTCTGGTGGGGGATGTTGGTAATTGAGGAGGCCCTGCATGTATTGGGGTAGGGAGTATACTGGAAATCTCTGTATCTTCTCAATTTTGCTATGAATCTTAAACTGTTCTAAAAAATAAAGAACCTTAACTTTTAAAAAGGTAAAAAATCAGCTTCAATAGGATATATTACTTTCAACTAAAACTGTGACTGATGCACTGTAAATTTATATTTTTTTATATTTGTTTTTGCCTTATGTATTTAGATGATCTTATGACATGTTTTATTGGATACATGTTGGAACTCTTCTGTTGTAAGAGACACAATCACAACTCAAATGCTTACACAAAGCAGATTTACGGAGCTATATAACAGGAAAGTCTATGAGTTCAATTTCACTGGTAATCTTTTATTTCTCAAACTGCCTAATGGGTACATGGATGCCTATTATAATAATTTTTATACCCTCCTGAATATCTGAAATACCTCAAAATAAATTACAACAGAATGAAATAAACAAACAAGAAGTAGTTGGATCCAGTAGCTCAAGAAATGCCATCAGCCCTGGACCCTCCTTCTCTGGGCTGGCTCCCTTTCCTCTGCAGGCCCTCTAAAGCTGGAATTCCCTGCAGCTCCAGGCTTGCTATATTTACAGTGGGCAGTATAGTGGCAAGGGTGCTTGACTTCTCAACAATTCCAGAGGTCCCAGAACAGACCACTGGCCTGCGTCAGATTTCAAGCCAATTCTTGGAAGAACTGCTTGGCTTAGGGTGTATGATGCTCTGATGGGCTCTGATGGGCTCTGATGTGAAGCCAGGCTCGTGTGTCCTCTTTGAGCTGATGGAGGAGGCTAACCACTTCTCTTCCTTTGCTGATGCAGTTTACAAATGGATATTGCGGAGTTTTGACTAGAAGAAGGGGGATGGATGTGGGGCAGGAGAAACACAAGTGAGTGTTTCTTTTCTTAAAGATTCTTTAAATGAAAAAGGACAGGGACAAGACAACAGTTCTCTCAGGACAGAGACAGTTATTTCTCAAGTTGTCTCCCAAATTCCGTTGAGTTCCTAAGGCAGTTCCAAAGCAGAATTATTGCCAGTAAGTCAAGAAGAACCAACATTGTCCCACTGGCAGAAGGAGGTAATAGAATTATATTTTTGTCAGTAAAACTAGTATTTTGTCAGAGTATCTATGGCAAAGGTTCTCTCCTTGACTGAACTCTAGCCAGGCTCCTCTCAAGCCCTTTCTCAGGTAGGCCTCAAACTTGGCCTATAAAGACTTGAACAAACACCAACATAGTTTCTAGCAGCTCAAGACTGCACCCCTAGGATGACTCTCACACCCCCTGAAAGTGCCTGTCTGAGAAAACTCCTTCCTGCCAAAAGAATTTACTGTTTGTTTCAGCCAATGCTTGGAGATAGAGCCCATCTCCCAGTCTCTGTGGGAGGATAGGTACCCAACTTTGGTAAGGGCCAGTCAGCAAGCCCAGATGGATGTCACAAGGACCAGCTCCCTACCTCTTCTTGCTTTTTGTAAGCTTTTGCCTTACTGACTGACTCTGCTGAGCCTCCCTCACCAACACTCCTGTTCTCACTCTCCCTCTAAAGCACCCAGTCACCTCTGTATAAACTGAAGTTGAGTTCATTTCATGCTGAACTCCTTTCCCTACTGCAGTAGATTACTGATTATAATCAGTCCTATCACTTTACCAGGTGTCTGGCTTTATCTATCCTTGGTTCCTGTATCACCCCTAGGGAAAAAGTACCAGAGGTTAAGAGCCGGTATGCTCCCGGAGCAAAAGCTGTAGAATCAAAAACCAAAAAACACTGCCCTCTACTGGCTGAAAATCTGGATTTGGCAATGAACTTTTTTTTCCACTTACTACCCCCAATTCTTTTATGTATGCTAAGTTATCATCATCTTTGTTATAAATATGACTTCTTTGCAACTGATCATTAGAGACCACCATACTCAGGGCCAGCAAAACTGGAGCAGGTAGTATGTGTGACTATTTCAGCCAGTCGGCCCAGCTGTGGGGAGACAGCTTCAAAGTGCTCACTGACAATTTCAGAAGGCATCTTTATAAGTCGACTTCAGATTGACAAACTCAGAAACACTGAGCTACTTCACATAATTTCAATAACTCATCCTTTACATTATAGTACCAAGAGAGTTTGCTGACGACATTGTTTAAAAATTTTTTTAGCTTTATTAAGGTGTAACTGACAACTTGTAATATATTTAAAGTATACAATGTAAAGATTTGATGTAGGGATACATGTGAAAGGATTCTCCAATTGAGTTAACATATTCATCTGCTCACATATTTACTTTTTCTATTGGTGAGAACACAAGATCTACTCTCTTAGAAAATTTCAAGGATATAATACATTACTGTCAACTATAGTCACCATACTATACACTAGACCCTCAGACCTTATTCATCACATATCCTAAAGTTTGTACCCTTCTACCAACCTGTCTGCATTTCCTCCACCATCCCCTATCCCCTGGTAACCAACATTTTATTCCATGAGTTTGTTGTTCTTGTTAGATTTCACATATAAGTGATACCAAGCAGTATTTGTCTTTGTCTGACATTTAAATTAGCATAATGCCCTTCAGGTTAATCCATGTTGTAGAAAATAACAGGATTTCCTTCTTATTTTAAGACATTTGAATAATATTCCATTGTCTACATATGTCACATTTCCTTCACTTATCATTGATGGACACAGGCGGTTTCCATATCTTGTCTGTTATGAATAATGTTGCAATGAACGTAGGAAAACACATATTACTTCGAGATTCTGATTGTGTTTCCTTTGGATATACGCCCTGAAGTGAGATTGCTGGATTGTATGGTAGTTCTATGTTTAATTTCTTGAGGAACCTCCATACTGTTTTCCATAGTGACTGTACCAGACATTCCCACCAAGAGTATACAAGGACTCCTTTTTCTCCACATCTTTCCCAGCATTTGGTATCTCTTGTCCTTCTTATAACAGACATCCTAATAGGTGTGAGGTGATATCTCACTGTGGTTGTGATTTGGATTTCCCTGATGATTAGTGATGTTTAGCACCTTTTCATGTACCCGTTGGCCAACTGTATGTCGTCTTTGGAAAAAACATCTATTCAAGCACTTTGCCATTTTTAATTGGGTTATTATTATTTGCTATTGAGTTATATGAGTTCCTTGTATATTTTGGATATCAATGCCTTATCAGACAAATGGTGGGCAAATATTATCTTCATTTCCATATGTTCCCTTATTTTGTTGATGATTTCCTTTGCTGTGCAGAGAAGCTTTCTAGTTTGATATAAGATGACACTGTTTATCTGCACCTTCCTTGATCTTTAATTTTTAATACTTTATTTTGAAAAACAAATATTTACTGTTTGTTCATTGTAGGAAATTTGAAAAATAAAGAAACCTTAAAGGGGGCAGTATTGATAAAATTACATGTTAAAAACTTGTAAGAAAAAGACAATGGGCAACAACCCTAAAATGGACCTCTCTCCTCCTCCTCTATCACGGATTTCTTGGCATATCTTGCAAGCAATCTTTTGACTCCTCTGCTCTCCACCCACACTGCTACTTTCAGCACAGGTCTTCACTTCCTACTTTCCTGAGATCATTGCCTGGAGGTGGAGGCTCTGACCTCCTCCCTAGCTGTCTCCAGAGCTCTCCACTCATTCCTGCCAGTTTTAGAGGAAGAGCTGTCTTCTTTGTTCTGAAACCAAGTTCCTTCCCCTGTGCCCCCTGAGCCCTGCATTATATTCCTTCAAACAGGCTTCACCATCCAACATCCTAAATTGCTCTTTCAGTTACAAAAGCTATATTAACCCAAATGATCTGGCAAATAGTATTATAAATAATATCCCATTTTCCTCATCATCACTGCCCAACTTTTTGAATGATCTAAACAGACTGCTAACTCTGCCCATCTGTAGAAACTGCCCTCACAGAGACTCATCTCTCATTATTATTCTCCTTGATTTTTCTGCGACATCTGGCACTTCTCATTACCCCTCTTTTTTTGCCTTCATACTTACCTCCTGGATTGGAGTCTCCTCAATCTTCTCTTCTGGTTCTCCTCCTTGGCTCCTGACTTTCTGTGGTCTTTTTCTGTCTCTTCAGGTCCTCTAACTCCCAGCACTTCAGATGTTTTGATTCATGTACTCCTTAATAAAAGAATTCTGAAAATTATGTACCACCTTACACATTTTTAAGTTGATATGTAAATTTTTCATAAGATTAAGGGTCACAAGGAATAAAATATTTACAACAGTGAATATTATATGTGCAGCTTACATACATTTTTGCCAAAACTATGGAGCTACACCTTCAGTTTGTGGAAAACTTCACTATGTAATTTAATTGCCAGTCTTCACTGCCAAACCAATCAATCAGAAAACTGACTTAGTGTTCAAACTCAAATAAATGTGTTAATAACTGTTCTGTGACAACCATCTCGTTTGTAAATTCTAAGTCTTGGGAGAGAAAAAAGAAAGAAAGAAAAAAGGGAAAGAACAGAAGAGAAATGATGAAGAATGAAGCCTTGCTGCAGCTTTGCCTCTGGGAGGAAGCTTCCTGCAGAAGCTCTGCAGCCTCAGATTTCCCCTTTGTTTCAGGGGTTCCAGAGGTGTTTAATGAAACTGAGGGCAGTCATCAATTATATCCCTTAGACTATAACTTGCTTAATAAACCTGCTTTCACTGCTGAAGCTCACTTTAATCGTTCCTGCAAGTCGCATATCCTCCAAGCTTCACATAGACAATACAGACAATATATTACAAGACCTCTTTAACAGCTCTTCATGGATAACACCTCTGATGCATGGATCACTGTGGTAATGATTGCTTAAAATGTTTTTCAGGAACTTGGAGTCAGCTCTGGTCCAGTTCGAGAGCTAACGGGTTAAGGCTGGTTGGGCCCACCAACCCTCCAACTGGACCTGCATGAGTGTCCCATGAATAATCTTCTGCTGTTAGAGGGCCAAAAACTCCAGCCTCAGATCATGCTAACACCACCATTTTCTGATCATGATTTCCAAGAAGCAGCATGTAACTCAGATACGCTGGCACAAAATATTCATTACCTCACCTTTTCCCTACCTCCAATCACATTTCTCCATGCCCAAGACCACTCTGCTTCTCTATCCTATAATTATCCCAAGCCTCTCACCTTTGGGGAGGAGGACCTCGGACTTGTTCTCCTGTCTTCTCACTTGGCAGCCTCATGAACACTTTCCGGCTTCAAATCTTGGTGTCTCCGCACTTGGCTCACTGCATGTCAGGCAAATGAATGTGGTTCAGTAACATTTACACCTGGAAGAAATGCCCAAGAGTAAAGTTCTGGCTAGATGGATAAAAGTCCAGATGCAAAGATGAGAGGCATGCCTCCTACTGTGAACAGGAGAAGGGCAGTTCTGAAAGAGAAGCTGGGAGAGGAGAAGCAACAGGTGGGGGTATTCGCAGACAGATGTTCTAGGGAAGAGTCCACGTAACAGCTGGGAACTTATAAACTGATTTCCTTGAAACTATCTATGTCCTCAGTACCCTTTGAAACATTCCAGTATGTGCATAACCTCGTTTGAATTGAGTAGCCTACAAAATAAGTTACTGGTTACTTTCTCTATATTTTTTCTTGAAGAACTGACAACATTCTCACAAATCCAATTATCACATCCAGGTGGATGACTCAGAAACCTGTTGACCTCTTTTAGTGTTTTCACCAAGCAGATGTCTCAACAGGAAGATCTCATATTTAACTAGAAATTTTCACTTCACAGTCAGCATGACAATAAAATCTATAAATTTTTTGTGTGTAGGTATTTCTCCAACAAGTTTCAGCCTGAGAAAAAAAGAAAGGCAAAACCAGAACCTTCTAGTAGGCTCTTCTGTCTGCCTAACCTCTGGTGATTCAATGAACCTCGTGCAGATTCAGAGTGATGACTGCGTAGGTTACATTCTGTGTGAGAAAGAGGAAGAGACAGAAGTATTTACATATGAATATAACATGTGTGCATACAGACAGATAAGTAGGTAGGTAGATACAGATAGACAAACATATCTGCTTATATTTTCAGAAGGAAATTCTGGAAGGTAAACCCAACTCTAATGAAAATACCAACCAGGTAGGGATGGGGGCTGTGGCATAAACAGTATTAAGTGAACAGAAATGAAAGTATGGCTTCTTGGAGCTTACTTTTATGTAATTTTGATTTTTGAATCATGTAAATGTTTTACACGTTCAAAAAAAAGTAGCCCTAAAATTGAAAATATTTTAAAAGGAAAGATACTACCTATTAAAACTTAACATAATCAGACAGTGAAAAGGATTACTTTAGATCATTCTAGAATATCATATTCTTGCTGAAAACCTTTGGAAGGTTATATTCTAAGGTCAAAAAGAGCTTCAAATTCAGTGGTTTTATTATTAATGGTAACATTGATATTATCTGGAAGTCATTTTATGTGTATTATACACCTGAAACAAATAAACAGTTATGTCACTATAAAATTTTCATTTTAAGAGATGAGTATAAAATAAAAAAAAATTAAATAAAACTCGATAGTCCAAATAATCCAAACTTGAATTGACAAATGTTAATTTAAACCCCTGATTTTAAAATGTTATTTCCTATCTCTGTTTTCTGAATGGGCCAGCATTAAAAGAAAGTGAATATAATTGATTAATACACTTATAACATGTAAAAATTCACAAGACTACAATATTTTAAAAAAAGTAAACATAGAAACAGAAACTTTCCTGCCCACACTGGAGGTGACTATTACACCAAATCCTTATTCTGAAAATTGATAATAAGAGTGGATGCATTAATTTATTCTTCTTGTAGTTGAGGATAACAATATGACCCCAGTTAATAAGTTTTTTTTACAGTTTTATTGGAATGTAACTGACATACAGCACAGTGCAAGCTTGCTTAAGAGGCACAGCATAATGCTCTGATTTATATATATTGTGAAATGATTACCACAATAAGTTAAATTAATATTCATCATATGGATGGATACAAGAGAAAAAAAATTTCCTTGAGATGTGAATTCTTAGATCTACTCTCTTAACTTTCCTGTATATCATGCAGCAGGGTTAACTATAGTTATCATGTTGTATATTACATCCCTACTTATTTATCTTATCACTGGAAGTTTGTACCTTTTTAACACCTTCATCCAATTCCCCCTGTCCCCATCCCTGCACATCTGGTGACAAGCAAAAAAATTTTTTTGTATAGAATATCTATGAATAAATGTAGAAAGAATGGACAGTACCAGAAAATTGCCATTCTGCAACTAAAAATGATATAACTGGTCCTATCAAGAATCATCAAAGTGGGATCAATTCATTAGGAGAATGGCTGATGGACAAATTTTCCAATATTGCCTGCAGATTCCCTGCATCTTTATAATGGTGAGATCTAGCTGCCACCACCCTAACCAGAGAGGAAAGTGACAATTAGGATTGTGGGACGCCGCGTGCCTCCTAATGGGACGCTGTAGTGGGTATACAGTGTTCTCTAGGATGTATTCTTACTAAAACATGCTCAACAGCAATCTAAATCAGTCTGCATCTCTAACTTCAAGTTTCAAGGAAATTCAGACAAAGGAATAAATCAAATGAAACCACCAGTACAAAATAAAACAAGTTCAGAAAACAGACATTTTACAAGACATCAGCCTGGTCTCTTCGAAAAAGCAAAAGAAGTAGTGACTCTTGCAGATTCACTGAGTTAGGGGTCTAATTCCTTTAGGTGTAAGATTAGATAGTTTATTCAAGATTTTTCTTGTTTCCTGAGGAATTGTATCATTATAAACTTCTCTCTTAGGACTGCTTTTGCTGTGTCCCATGGATTTTGGATAACTGTGTTTTCATTTTCATCCAGGTATTTTTTTTGATATCTTCTTTGATCACTTCACTAATCCACTGGTTGTTTAGTAGCATACTGTTTAGCCTCCATGAGTTTGTGGGGGTTTTTTGAAGGTTTTTTTTGTTTGCTTGTTTGTTTTTTGTAGTTGAGTTCTGGTCTTACAGTATCATGGGTGCAAAAGATGCTTCGTGTGATTTCAATTTTCTTAAACTTATTGACTTATTTTATGGCCTAGCATGCAATCTATCATGGAGAAGGTTCCATGTGTATTTGAAAAGAATGTGTATTCTCCTTTTGGATGGAATATTCTATATATCTATTGAGTATATTCGGTCTAGCATGTCATTTAAGGCCAGTGTTTCCTTATTGACTTTCTGCCTGGATAATCTGTCCAATGATGGATCATTGCAGACAATGTGATACCATATATAGAAAATCTCCTAAAGACACCACCAAAAAACTACTAGTAGTCATCAATGAATTTGGTAAAGTTGTAGGATACAAAATTAATATACAGAAGTATGCTGCATTTCTATACACTAAAAATGAACTATGAGAAAGAGAAATTAAGAAAACAATTCCATTTACAATTGCATCAAAAAGAATAAAATACCTAGGAATAAATCTACCTATGGAGGTAAAAGACCTGTACTCTGAAAACTATAAGACATTGATGAAAGAAAATGAAGAAGACACAAACAGATGGAAAGATATACTGTGTTCATGGACTGGAAGAATTAATACTGTTAGAATGACCATACTCCCCAAGGCAATATACAGATTCAGTGCAATCTCTATCAAAATACCAAGCGCATTTTTCCATGGAACTAGAATAAATAACTCTAAAATTTGTACAGGAACACAAAGGCCTCGAATAGCTAAAACAACCTTGAGAAAGAAGAACAAAGCTGGAGGTATTATACTCCTTAATTTCAAGCTACACTACAAAGCTACAGTCATCAGAACAGGATGGTACTGGCACAAACACACACATATATCAATGGAACATAATAGAGAGCCCAGAAATTGACCCATGCTTATATGGACAATTAATCTATGACAGAGGAGGCAAGAATATACAATGGGGAAAAGACAGCTTCTTCCATAAGTGGTTTTGGGAAAACTGGACTGCCACATACAAAAGAATAAAACTGGACCACTCTCACAACATGCACAAAAATAAACTCAAGCTGGGTTAAAGACTTAAATTTAAGACCTGGAACCATTAAACTTCCAGAAGAAAACAAAGGCAGTATGCTTTCTGACATTGGTCTTAGTAATATTTTTTGGATATGTCTCTTCAGGCAAGGGAAAAAAAGCAAAATAAACAGAACTACGTGAAACTAAAAACTTTTGCACATAGAAGGAAACTATTGACAAAACAAAAAGATCAATTACTGAATGAGAGAAGATATTTGCAATGAAGTATTTGATAAAGAGTTAATATCTAAAATATACAAAGAACTCACACAACTCAACATCAAAAAAAAAAGATTAAAAAATGGACAGATCTGAACAGACATTTTCCCAAAGAAGACAAACAGATGGCCAACAGGCACATGAAAAGATGCTCAACATTACTAACCATCAGGGAAATGCAAATCAAAACCACAATGAGATGCCACTTCACATCTGCCAGAACAGATATTATCAAAAAGAAAAGTAACAAATGTTGGCAAGGATATGGAGAAAAGGGAACCTTCTTGCACTGCTGGGAATGTAAACTGATGCAGTCATGATGGAAAACAGTATGGAGGTTCCTCAAAAAGATAGAACTACCATACAATTGAGCAATTCCACTCCTAGGTACTTATCCAAAGAAAATGAAAATACCAACTAGAAAAGATTTATGCACCCCTATGTCACTGCAGCATTGTTTACATTAGCCAAGATATGGAAGCAACCTAAGTGCCCATCAATAGATGAATGGATAAAGAAAGATGTGGGGTGTGTGTGCGTGTCTGTATACATATACATACAGATATACACTACATTGATATACATATATAGAGACATATACATATATACTCAATGGAATAAAAAAGAATGAAATCTTGCCATTTGTGACAACATGGATGCACCTAGAAGGTGTTATGCTCAGTGAAAGAAGTCAGACAGAGAAAGACAAAGACTGTATGATTTCACTTCTATGTGGAATCTAAACAACAAAACAAATGAACAAACATAACTAAACAGAAATAGAGTTATAGATAGAGAACAAACACATGGTTGCCAGACTGGGGATGAGGGTCAGAAAGAAATAGATGATTGAGCTTAAGAAGTACAAACTTTCATTTGCAAAGTAAATGAATTACGGGTACAAAATGTACCGTGTGGAAAATATAGTCAATAACTAGGTAATATCTTTGTATGGTGACAGATTGTAACTAGATTATGGTGGCGATCATTTTGAAATGTAAGGAAATATGTTGTGTA